GGAGGAGGAGGAGGAGGAGGAGGAGGAGGAGAGAATGTAGCGTGAGCAGGATGGTCATATATATCTATATCTATCTATCTTTTCTATCTATCTTTTCTATCTATCTTTTCTTTCTTTCTTTCTCTTTCTCTCTTCCTTCCTTCCTTCCTTCCTTCCTTCCTTCCTTCCTTCCTTCCTTCCTTCCTTCCTTCCTTCCTTCCTTCTTTCTTTCTTTCTTTCTTTCTTTCTTTCTTTCTTTTCTTTCTTTCTTTCAAAATCAATGCATCCAAAGAGGAGCATGGGGGGAAAAAGAAGCTGTGCTTTTGCAGGCATTATAACAGCGGCGGGAAACTACAATGCAGGAGATGTGTCCATGTTAAAAAAAAAAAGAAAGGATAAAAATATGAATATTGGCTTCTGCAAAGCTTCATTGGCTCTCAGCTGGAAGACTCAAACTTTGCTCCCCTTCTACAGAAAAGGCATTAAGAGTTCAAGAGAGACAGTCCAGTGGTTAAAGCACCAGGCTAGAAACCAGGGGACTGGGAGTTCTAATCCCGCCTTAGGCCTGAAAGCCGGCTGGGTACCTTTGGGCCGATCACTAGGAGACTGGGGGGGAGTTCTAATCCCGCCTTGGGTATGGAATCCAGCTGGTGCCCTTGGCCCAGTCACTCTCTCCCTCGGCCCAGCCCTCACAGGGGGGTTGTTGTGGGGAGACCAGAGGAGAAAAGAGGAGGGATTAGTTATGTTCGCCACCTTGAGTTACTTATAAAAAGAAATAAAGGCGGGGTACAAATAAATAAATAAATAAATAAATAGAACTTTGCAGCTGTGCCTGGTTTCCCTTCCTCCCCCAAATCTCAAGCCAAATGGGGGGCCCTCCCTTCTGTATGCCACGCCAATCATCTTGCAAAAATAAAACGTCGGCTGGCCTCTGCTTGTTTTCCCCGGCCTCCTTTCCGCCGTCGGAGGCCTTCAGGAACTTCTTCTTCTGCAGCCAGCAAGGCCTCTGGAGCCAATAACTGAGCTCTGGGTCGATCCAGAGCTTTTTTCCCAGCTGCAGAGGCTTTCAGGGAAGCCTTGCCAGCCTTGCCGGCTGCAGAAGAAATGGGCCGGCCAGGCAGGTGTCGGGGTGTGCGAGGCCTGGCTACACCTGTCCAAAGGTAAATAGTAGGGTAGCTCCGCCTCCTCCATCCCCACCCTTTGCTTAAATTTTACCTGTCCACTCTGGAGCGGGTGGGATCTTGCTTAGGGCTCATATTGGGCGCACGTGTAAAAAAAAATAATCAAGCTAGGACTTACTTTCAGGGTAGGTCGTATTTTCGGGGAAACGGGGTAGGAAAAAAACCCCTGCAGGATTCTGAGATTGTCTTGCTCAGAAGGCAGATGTTTCCTGTCCAAAGAGGCCGGCCGTTTCCCATTGTTCTAGGCAGGGCTCATCCTGCCTAGAAACCACCAAACCGGGAGGTGGGGGGGAAGAGCTATATTTAGGGGAGTGGGATCGAGGCGGTAGGAAGACTCACGGTGCCACTTCGTTCCCGCTGCATGGGGCAAACGTCAGGCGACGTGCTCAGGAGGCCCGAACTGCTTGCGTAGTTCTCTCCCCAGCTGTATAAATTGGGATCTTGTTTGGAAGAAGAGAGAGAAAGAGAGAGGGGGGGGGGTGAATATAAGATATTCCAGCCTATGCCAAGGCGGTTCTATTTTTTTTTTTTTAAAGTTATCAGCGTTTTTTAAATTTTCTTTTATCTTTCAGGGAGACAGAATATTGAATGGGACGAAGACGACTCCCAGTCACACATCCAGACCCGCTTCAAAGCTTGGTTCTTGTTTTTAGAAGCAGATTTCAGAACCAAGAGAATGAACAGAACCACGGGGTTCCTTTTCCCACCAGAAATTTAACACAACCCCGGAGGAGAAGCCTCGCAGGGGCCCTGGATCAAAACGGGAGCTTGCAAATATCCCAGAATTTGGGTTGCTTGTCCAGTTTTGTGGGGAGCAAGGGGGCCCAGGAGAGGGAGGGGCTGTACTTACTGTCTTGCTCTGCTCCTTTTAAGAAAGCCCCTATGGCTCCCAGGTAGCCTTCATGCCTCAGAAACAAGGCCTGGACTTCACCCTGCCGTAATACGAAACACGGTGTTGGCAGGAACCCCCGAGGAGTAGCTGCCCTACATTTACAACGCTGAGCAAAAGGCGTGGAGGTTGCTTCAGACCAAAACCCTGAGGAGGGTAACCCTGTTGGGGTTGACAGTACAAAGGGTAAAAGAATAAAAAAAAAACCAAGGAAGGCTCTGCAAACGGAAATGGGACAGGACCAGAAAACGAAGGTGTTCATTTTCTTAGCAATGACTAAGGCAACCCGACTCATCCTTTTGTGTTTTTCCCTTTAAGGCATCTTTAAGTTCTTCCTCTGACACGGAGAAATTTAATCATCGTTTAACGACCCCATAATCCCTTGCGGGGTAGAACTTGGGCAACTGAATGGAGCTAGCAGAGCATTTTAATGGCCGGATGCCCTTCCTGTTCCCAGAGTGGAGTTTTTTCCCCAGCAGATATATTCCCATTGTTCCCCGAGGGAGAAAGATCTGCCTCTACCTAGGATTGAACTCACAGCCTCCTGACTGTGAGGCGAGAGCTCCACCTCTAGGCCACCGCACCACTCCCATGGAGAAATTTAATGCAACAGGGAAAAAGCAACATTTATTTTTAGCAATAGAAGAGTATTTGTAGCTCGGGGTTGCTCTCTGAACTTGGATTTTTTTTTTCCTGTAGACATTTCATTACCAAACTAGGTAATATCATCTGTGTTCGAAGGGAGAGAGGTTGTGGAGAGGAGGAGGACTGTGGGGTCCTTGATGCTGTCTGAACTTGGGGGTTTCCTTGCAAACGTTTCATTACCAAACTAGGTAACATCATCAGTGATACAAGGGAAAAGTTTGCTCTCTCTCCCCCTTCTAGCACTGATAATATTGCCTATTATGGTAATGAGATGTCGGCAAAAAGAGAAAAAAAACCAACCAGCTTAGAGAGCACCAAGGACCACACATCATTTGATTTGTCTAAATATCTTTACAGAGGTCTACTTCCACGCCACACAATTCGCCCATCCAGGCACAGAAAACAAAACTATACCCTCCCATTTTCACTTTGCTCTGCCCTCACCCCGCCCCAGCCTGCCAGCCTGCTAGAAGATTTCCGATTTAATTTCCCCGCTACCTTGGAGAAGAAGTTAATACTGTAAGTGATGGTTCGCATGGTGACGGGGTGACCTCGGATGAAGAAGCCGCCAAAGTAGATTTTGTCCAGGTTGTGGAGCTTGGCGTGCAGGCAAGCCAGCTGCCCGATATCGTTGCTGATCATGTGCAGCAAACTTTTGGCCATGTCCTCTTTAGAAAAATCTGAGAAGGGCACAAGAGAAGAAGGGATCAAGCCCCCAACCACCACCACCACCACACAAAAGATGCGAATCAATTCATGGAAGGGGGCTGGATTTTATTCGGAATGAGATTCGGGGGGGAAAGAATCAAAGAAGGGCCGTGAGATTTGGAGTTGGCCGCTGACCTGGAGAATGGAAAAATAATAACAGAGGCCCTTCATTTTAATGGGCAGGGCGAGGCAACCCCTTTACAGACACCCCCGGGTTTGAGTGGACCGAAGAATAAAATGTCGGCAAACCCTAACCTTTATCCACCGTGGCAGATTTTCCAAAGCTGCTGGCGATCAGGTTCCCGCTAAGCCCGAGGGTTTGATACGCCCCGCCGTAGATGTCCTTCACCAGCATGTCGACGTTGGTGTGTTGGCCCTTTGAAGCAAGCTGCAGCAATTCATCAAACTTCTAAAAAACAAGACAAAACCCCAAAAGTTTGTCAGATGAAGAGGCCTTGGAGGGGGGATATTTCTTTTCTCATTTATGTCATGAAATCAATTATTCAACTATTTACCAAGTCTGCACTACCATTACTGTTCATCTTCTCATCACTCCTTATCATCCATCTCCTCCCACTTTTGACTGTATGACTGTAACTTTGTCGCTTGTATCCTTACGATTTATACTGACTGTTTCCTAGTGTGACTTGATGTGACTTATTGTGCCCTATGACTATCATTAAGCCTTGCATTTTATGATTCTTGACTCTTGACTCTCTCTCTCTCTCTCTCCCTTCTCCCCCCACTTCTGAGAGGTCTGGAACTGCTTACCTTCTCTTTATAGAGAGAAAATCTCCTTGCTTCTAAAAATCTAGCCTGGGAGCTTTTTTTCCGGATGAGCTAGCTTTCTAAAACGCAGGATGAGAACCATTGGAAAGTTAAGTCTTGGGGTTTAGGCGTGGGATTCTCCCAGCAACACAGAAAGCAATCGGGTTTTTGCTCAGATTTCTGCCCCATCCTCTCTGTTTCTCCTACATATCCTCTACACACACACACACACACACACACACACACACGCACAGATATATATATATATATGCGATTAACCTAATCCATCACTCAAATGCTGAATATTACCTTGGTTTTGGTAAGCAATGCTCCGAGGCCCCAGAAAGTCCCGCCTCCGATGGAACTTCCGCCAATCCACTCAAACTTATCTTCCGTTTCCACCTATCAAAGGAGCAGATTCTTGCCTAAATCTATTTAGGTCCATAAGGGCGGAGCAGCCTGGGGTTGAATGGGCAAGCGGATCTGTTCTTATTCTATTGGGGCACCCCGACGGTTTCGGGATCAAAATTTGGACGCTTGGCAACTGACTCGCGCTTACGATGGTTGCAGTGTCCCAGCAATGCCCTTTTACGACCGGGCTAGGCTGCCAGGATCCGCTTAACAACAACAGTGGCAGGGAAAAGCCGTCCAATGGGGCAAAGCTCACTTTAACAAACGTTTCACTCAACAACAAAAGTCTGGGGCTCCGCTGTGGTCAAGGGTTACCTGTTATGTCGATTAAAACAATGGTCCTCTCACCTTGACGATCGAAACTCCAGAGCCAATATTAACCAGCAAGTAAGGGAAAATGTGAGGATGGTTCATCTGAAACCTGAACTCGGGGTCGGCATCCTTCAGGTAGACAAAGGCCTCATGGGGGATGTTCTTCAGGACAAAATTGCACCCCTTAATGAGACAGGTCATCACGTCTTCTTTATCTAATCTACCAGGAAACCCAGGTGAGGAAAACAAGAGGGCTGTTAACAGCTGTGGAACCAGCTCAGGAAAGCGACCTGTGAAAAGGCCGGCGGAGGAGTCACCCGGGCTGGAAGCTCGAAAAAACCCATCGCACAAAGACCCGGGGGGTCTCCCTGGGCGCTCGCACTTACTTTAATCCCAGCTTCTTCTCAATAAGTTCCTTGAATTTGTACGCACCACCCCCCGTGGCTTTGATCACTTTCGTTTCGGTGTTGACGAGGTGGTCTTTGATGAAATCCAAGCAGGCTTCGATATAGGTGTTCTCGAATTTAATGAAATGCAGCCGGGCCGTGATCTCCTCCTGGACGGTGATTTCGTAGGGAGATTCGGATTCGGCATCCTTCGGGGGATCGACAAAACAGAAAAGGTTCAAGAGATCCCTAGGCCAGCTTTCTTGCACAGTGGGAAAGCGAGGTGATTTCCACACTCAATCCCCACAGCTTGACGATATCTGGACTTCCAACTCGCAGAATTCCCCAGCCAGCTGGCCCAGATTCCACTGGGTTTTAAACAAGAATGTTGAAAACTAGCCAACTGGTAGAGGGGAAGACTCTTAAAGCTCAGAGGTTTGGGGCCTTTGTTATCATATTTGGACCCCTTTGTTCATCTTTGAACTGAATGGAGATAGCAGAGTGTTTACTGGCCGAATGCCTTTCCTGTCGCCAGTGGGGAGTTTTGTGCAGCAGATATATTCTCATTGTGAGAAATATCTGCCTCTACTTAAGATTGAACTCATAGCCCTCCTGATTGTGAGGTGGGAGCTCCACCTCTAGGCCACCGTACCACTCATATTTGGACACCTGGGCCATCCTAAAATGTTGGTTGGCGCCTGAGCCCCGGCGTTTCCTGCTGCAAATCTCTCAGGATGCCGGCTTTGAGATTCCTACCAATAGGTAAAGGAAAACAGG